TCAGATGATTTTTCCATTTTCAAATCCATCCCTGGGATATATATATATATATATATATATATATATATATAGTTTCTTCTGTATACTGTGTTTTTCTATATCTGCCATACAGTGTGAACTGTGTATTATTTTACAGTGTTTACCTATAGTTTATCATTCTTAGCTGCCTTTTATTTATTTTGTTTTGCCTTTCCTAATATCAATCAAGAGACCTTTCAAAGAAAAACGACAATCAATGGATTGATTTAATTGGTTTTACCCACACAGTCATTTTTCTTTCCATGTTTTTTTTCACTTTTTTCTTTATCATGTAGGTAGTGTTGCCCATGCTGTGCAGTTATATGTCTCACTGGTGGGAACACGGGCCAGAGAGCAACCCAGACAGAGCCGACAGCTGCTGCACATCTGTCACCTCCCAACACATCAACACTCTGCTGGGAAACATCCTCAAGATCATCTACAACAACCTGGGAATCGACGAGGGAACCTGGATGAAGAGATTGGCTGGTAATTTTCCCTAAAAGTCTGATTACTGGGCACCAGAAGACATGGAAATATGCATGTGGAGAGATTTATAAAAAGTTTGAGTAATTAATCTAATACTGTTGTTTCCACCACATAGTCTTCTCTCAGCCAATCATCAGCAAAGCCAAGGCTCAACTGCTAAAGACACACTTTCTCCCTTTGATGGAAAAACTAAAAAAAGTAAGTCATGTCTTTGCTACTTTGCTCTTGTTATTTCTGGACAAAATATACCCGTACATATAGAAATACCCCTACCAGAGGCCTTGGAGCTTGAGTTACATACAGTATCTTATCTGTCCTTACAACATCTTTGACTTTCTCTCTGTGCACACACACACACATCTATATATATACACGCACACGCGTACAGTATATATATATATATATATATATATATATATATATATATATATATATATATATATATATACACACTGCACACATTAAACTGGCACATCTACAAATGTATTCAGTGAAGATTTTTTTTCAACACTGAAA